GGGGAAGGCCTTGACGCCTGCCACACGGTCTCAAGAAGGGGTCAGTAACACCTAACTTAACCAGAACGAAACCAATCTATGCCCTCTGAACTGACCCTCTCAGCTCTGACAGTCAGGCACACTGTAAAGAGGAGTTTCTTAATCCAGTAGTTCTTAAACTGAGAAAAAGAAGACTCGATCACTGGGACAATACGTTTATTCGCCTGACGTTTCGGCATCCGTCGCAGATTCATCCTCAGAGACATGAGTAGGTAACAGTAGCAGAAACTGTACTGTGTCTCTAAAGTGACCTATTAGGAAATACCAATGACTGAGAAACCTGTTTACCGACTAAAGAAACGTGTATTCCAAGAGCATGGCCGACGCATGATGCCACATAAAGCAGTCCCGTAGAAGGAACCAACGTGGTGTCGTTAATTTCGAATCCGAATGCAGAAGAATGTGGGGGTAATGGCTCAGTCAGAAGCACCCTTGACCAAGCCACCGGAATGAGCCATAGCGAAGTCAAACATCAATACTTTTGTAATATAAGTAGATATTTATCAGTATTATTTTGGAGTTGGGCGTCCTATACCATTTTTGTCCTTCAACCTTACTGTTTTACAATGAGGCCTGTTCTCTCTTTCCCTCTGCGCTAGAATGTCCACCACCGAAAGCCCGTTACACTAACTGCGTGAACGGGACGCTCTGGGTGACAGTGGAGCTAGTAACTTTGCGAAACTGTAAGTGTGAAACAAAGCAATTCCGAAGGCCCCTCAAGTGCATGCAGTTCAACCGGGCCGGTGAAAGAACGGACGGAGGTGCACCCCTACTGCCTATGCGGCGTCACCCCTACGACGGGAACAACACCGACCAGCTGCCCTCTCGCCTCATGGAGGGTCAGTGGCAGAGATCCATGGAAGTGCTGAAGGAGAAGCTGCAGGAACTGGGTCTCTTCAACGTCAAGTCCTGGGCTGGCGATATGCAGCAAATCAAAGCAGCAGGTCGTCCAATGCTGCCCAAAACAAGCAATTTTGCTCCACCAAGTGGTCCCCTAGGGCCCATGCCTCGGATGCCTGCAGGAGCGAAGCCATTGCCTCAGGGACAGCAACAGCA